CAGGCCGCCTTCCTTGCGAGGTTTCGCTGTGGCAAACTCGGATACATTCATGACGCGGCATTTTCTTCCGCGGTCGTTTGTCACCTCCACGGAGGGTATTGGCGCACCCGTACGCGAAGCATGTACGTGACGAGACGCCCCAAGGCCCCAAAACAACCGCAGTCTCAGGTTAGAAAAAAGAAAGTACTCGAGTTCCTCACGAGTGAGCCAAAAGGGTGCGCCATAGCCACGCTCCTCCGCTGTTGTGCTCAACGTATTCATCTCCGCCTCTGAAGAAGTAAGTGCAACACCTCTGGAAGAAAGAGCAGGGGCGGTGAAGTCTACCGCGGCGAGCACATCGCCGCGACGTCTAGTAATTCTTCTCAGGCGTTTGGAGTGAACAAGAACTGCCCGCGCAAAACCGGCATGAATTGTGTCGTCCCACAAGGCCTCCTCCGGAAGTATGGCATCGCCAGCGTACTCCGGCCGCACGAAGAGGCCCAGTTGAGATACCTGTGACGGGGTGAGCGCGTGCGTCTTGGGCCGCGCCGCGGATGGTGCCTTCTCCAGCAACACCGAGCGCACCACGGCATCAGCCCAGGGGGCAAGTGGCGCATTGAAGATGCTGCGCCGTCCGCTCATAGGCGCAGTCCGCGGCGGCAGACAATGTGAGTCGATCCGCTACCCTGCGGCGTCGCCAATGAGGCAACCCCACTGCGCAACGACTGCGAAAGTAAGACATGCAAACAAACAAACAGGGGGAAAAACAACAAATGTCATCCCCAAACAAGTGCAAGAACGCCTCAACAGAATCGTGGCCCTGACACACACACTACGCGCGGCGGAGGGTGCGGGGCGCTGAGTAGTGTAGGCAAAAACAATAGTAATAATAACAATAATAATAATAATAATACGGGACCAAACAATCAGACGAAAAGAGAAAGAGAGGAAAGAAGTCGAAGGGAGGAAGAAAAGCCGCGGGCAAAAAACAAACAAAAAAACAAAAAAACAAAGAGCCGATCATAACACATAGAAGTCACCAATAAGTGCTCTGCAGAGGGAGAGGGGGAGAGAAGAGAGGGACACACACACAAAAACAAAAACAAAAACAAAAAAAGTCAAATATTTCCTCGCCCGGAAAAAATAACAACTGCGGCAAAACGAAGGCGAGGGAAACCAAAAAAGAACAACAACAACACAAAATATAAAAACAGTAGCCCGAGCAGCGATCGCAAGGAATAATTTAAAAAAAAAAGGGGGGGGGGCGCAGATGAAAATGTCAAGAGAAAAATGAAAGATATTATATACATATATCCTACATATATATATATATATATATAGCTAGAAAAGAAAACAG